AATACTATTTAAGTTTATATATCCTTACAGAAGAAGCCTAAAAACCAATATTCCTTTTTCAACCAATTTATATTAAAGTCTCTGGCTATCGATGGGTTAAGCAGAGCTGAATCGCAATTCAGCTCTTTCCATTAAAGAAAAGCAGCACCTATCAAGCTTACATACAGCTTACATAAGAGAGTAAAGAAGAGGATGTTATATGAAATGAAACTGTTTCACATCCCTAGCAAGAAAAAGTAAAACAATTTATATAGAATCGGAGGGGATGAATTTTAAAGTCTCCAGATTTCTTTTTGGTCCAGTGAGGAAGGGGGTGATCATCAAGAGCGTTTTTTGAGAAAAGTGATGATTAGAATTTTAAGTTGGGAAGATACCAATGATTTATTATAAACTATATATGTCTGCTATAACGAATTCGGATATTTCAAGTGTGTTCAAGAAAATTCACGCACCTAGAACGGATCACAAAACTACTTGCATATATTGTTCAGAACACCGTCTAGTCAATTTTAATCACAGTTCGTGTTTTTTCTAACGTCAGGGAAAACAAAACAAAGAAAGAAACCGAGATTTTCTTAAGAAAATTATGCTACTTGCTTATAGTTCCAAAATAGATAAATCTTATTTGAAACAGAATTGGAAACAAGGATTTAAATGGTTGAAACTGTTGTAAGGTATATGATGCAAGATGCTCAAAATTTTGAAAATAACTGTTTTCTTTGGTACGGCTACAGAAATCGGGAAATTATTCACGATTTCGAATTCTTCATCTCTAGACAGATGACTTTCTCCTTCGGCTGTTTTTAGACTAACTTCAACATTTGTCTTTTGAAACTCTTAAAAGAAGGTGTCTTTCTTCTCGGATTCGCTTCAGGAACAAAATATTTTTGCTCGTGAAAAAAGAGGGGGGGGGGGAACTATGTCTGATCAACTTTTAATATGTAGTTTGTTCTATCAACTACTGACATGTAGTTGATAGAACTTTATGGAAAATCTACACCAAACTGAAACAGAGAATGTCTTTCAGCCTTTTAAAACTAAAATATTTCTGCACTCTTTTTTCCTTGCCTATAACTATTTTTACACAATTCCAATATACTTTATTGCTTTGCATTTAACATTTCGAAGTCATCTTGAATAATCACTCACGAAGCAATGAGTGCACTTATGAATATTTACCCATTACTTGGAAAGCAATGTATACTAGCAACTGAAATTAAATGTTGATTCTGTTGACTCTAAAATAATTACGGAATCGCACAACTTTTTGGAAACTACCTTTTCATATTTTTGCATTCTACTGGTTCGTGGATTTGGAGTAATTGACGACAACACTTGATGAAGAATCAAAACACAATTTTTCGCCAGGATTACACAGGAGAGTCCCAAAGACACATTTACAGTCGTCGAGAAGCTGCGATAAACACGTTGAAACAATCAGCAACACAGCCTTCAGATTACAACGATAAAGACAGCTTCACGGCAGAGCACTAAAGTACAGCTCCCGACTCGGTTCAGCCGCTCTCAAGCTAATCTTTGAACTCAAACCACTACTACTAAACTCAACTTACTACTTTCCCCGCATACAGGCAGCGTATATATAGCTTTAACCTACCTTCCAGAACATTCCCGATGAAAACCGTTAAGTATACATTCTAGAAAGTTCACGCCCCATCTATGGCATATCGCCAGTTTTGTCACGAAGGCATTTCACAACAATATCAGGAAATCAGCTGTTTTAACAAAATATGATTCAACACTGGATTAAAAAAGATATAAAACCAATATATAAAACCTTCTTCAATTTTTATATATGTAATTTCTCTTAGAAATACGATATTCTAAATATGCCTAATAAAAAAAGATATAAAACCATCTTCCACAATGTTAATTAGTAGACTTTTTAATTTCACGCAGCATAATCGGACTCTGCCAATATAAGAAATTTCAGGTGTCATATTCTGCGCATTAAACCAATGAGTAATAGCTCTAAATTTCTAATTTTTCGCTTCGATTCTCATATTTCTACAGTATTTATCACTTAATGTTTCATTACAGTAATGCTTATTCGGACTATTTCAAATGTAACAAGTTTATATATACTTCACTAGTTCGGTACTCGTTAAGCAAAGCAATAATTTTGATTTCGATTTCCTACAAACTGTGAGCGAAAATTGTAATACTTCAAGGCGCTTTAATACTTAATAAAGCAAAAATATATATTCATAATTTCATTTATAAAAAAAATTTCGGAAGTAATGTTTATAGAAAGAAGCTACAACAAATAGCTTGTATTTTTTAAAGAGTTCGATTAAACAAATGATTTCATAAGCGAATTGTGGTGCGAAATGTCACTATCTCTGTTCTGGATTTAATATTTATATCACAACATTTTATTTTTTATTTCCATTAAAACATGAAATGCTTTGAACTTGAAAATTAAAAAAAAAAAAAAAAAAAAAAAACTGTTAAAAGTTTTAATAGTTTTTTAATTTAATTATGATTGAGAAATCTGAATCCTACTTTAATATGCTTAATCAAAATTAGGCATTGGAAAATTAATGAATCAGAAAATGTATTAATCAAAATAAAGGGTATAATATTTTAATTTTTAGATCTTATTTCTATAAATACAGCCTGCAGTTAACACAGCGCAATAATATTTATTTCATTATTACCTAATAATCATTGCTTCGATCTGTTGTTATAACAGAAGAACGCCTATCTCTTTTCTCGTATTTATTCAATCGCTTATTAAATATACTTCTTAAATTTACGTCCAGCAATTTTTATAACTTTTCGAAAAACACTGACTAAAATTAAAGTGCTTAAAAAAAAGAGAATAAATATAGTGATTAAAAAAGTTTTTCTGTCCGAAACATATAAAATATTATAAACACAGAAAAATATTCATACGTACAGATGACAAAAACTCGCTTTGCCAATAAAAATTATTGGTCTGTTAGCATCAGTCGGACCACAGTAATCAAATTCCAAGAGAAAAGCACTTTCTTGCAAGCAAGCCAGATTTTTACCACTTTGATCGCATTTCCTGTTCATGTAAGCAACTCGCAGTATGCAGTTTAATTTTTTTTCTTTAATCCATGCTTCATCCCTGAATCATGAAAACAATTCACTTGAATTATTTCTAAAATTCTTGATGGGAAATATATCCTTAACTATTTAAAATGCAAATTTTTAAATTCTGCATTATTTCTTCTCCTAAATACCAAAATTTACAGGTACAGAGATTGGAAATGCTCCGTTACGCACCTGCCGCGCTTTTTAGCTTCTTTGAAAAGGAAAGCCAAACATAGGCTGAGACCCAACGATAGTACCATCTACGCTATCGTTGTGTGTGTCTATCTATAAAGTATTCTTGTAACTAGAAATTATATACGACTAAAAAATCCACCAAAACGCGGCACAGATGCATAATGGAAAAGTACTCAGAAGTTATTACTGCTTTACGAAAACACAGCTTTCCTATGAAATCTTTAACAAATTAAAATGGATCATAGCATTTATAACTTAAACTACTTGTCCTAAATACTTAACAACTATCCAGAGAAGTTAATTCACAACTTAGCTAGATATCGCTTCTCTTACTTTTTTTTTTTTTTTTTTTTTTTTTTTTTTTTTTTTAATGAAACACAAGGTAATAACTTAAATGCAAAAGCTGAACAGAAATTTTATTAGATAATAATTTTCACTATGTTGAAAACTAAAATTATTGCACACTGAAATCGAGTTAACCTCGTCAAACTTTACATTAACAGGCTGATTGCGTTTACTCTAAGGTTACGATGGGATTGCAGCAATATCCTAGCTCAAATCTGCAATACCCTAGAATCGAAATGAAAAGAAAATTTTCTGAACATCTTCAAGCTCAGCCAGATCTTTCCAATAATTTTTTCACAGCTTTGCAAGCGACTTCCGCAGACGAGGCGGAGAAAACTCTTTCTTCGCTAAGATTCGAACCACTAATCTTTCAATTTTTAAACTGGATTTGCTAGGAGAGTGTGCACATGAGATTACAGTATTTACCTTCATCAAGATTCGAACCACAAAACTTTCAGCTTGCTAACTACACCTGCCTGGAGTCTATGCCCATAGGATTGTTGAATTGTTATATCTACCTATTTACCTTCACCAAGATTCGAACCACTAAACTTTCAGCTTGCTAACTACACCTGTCTGGAGACTATGCACATAGGATTGTTATATTTATCTTCAGTAAGATTCAAACCACTAAACTTTCAACTTGCTAAGTAGACCTGTGGGGAGAGTATGCACATGGGAATCAGTGGCGTGGCTAGGGTGGGGCAAGGAGGGACATCTGTCCCCGGGTGCAGCATCCAAGGGGCGCCAAACTGATGCTACGAAATTTTTTAATGAAATGTTTTCCATTCTTGGCAGACAGCTGCGCAAATTATTCAATTGTCCCGTGGCGCTGGAAACTCTAGCTACGCCCCTGATGGGAATGCAATATTTACCTTACGCCAAGATTCGAACCACTAAACTTTCAGCTTGCTAACTAGACCTGCTGGGAGACTTTGGATAGTAATGTTTGGCACATAGGGAAGTAATATAGTTTGCACATAGTTTGGCACATAGGATAGTAATATTTACCTTCGCTAAGATTCAAACCACTAAATTTTCAGCTTGCTAACTAGACTTGCTGGGGAGAATATGCACATGGAATGCAATATTTCTTGATATGGTTATTATGAAAATATTTTATCGATAATTGAATGTTTTGCATACAAACCTATGATTATATTAAACTGTTACAAAAATAAGGTTTAATGATAATTTCGGAATAACAAGAAACAGCACATAAGTAAATATTTTTTTTACTGAACAATCTATAAAATGCTTACCTGATTGTAAGATTTACATTCCCAAGAGTAGAAATCCTTTCTTTTATTCTATTAATAAAGTCTCTCGGAGTTATATGAAATCCAAGTCCATGTAAAAGGCGTGCGAAATTTTGACAGTCTCCAATAACTACTCCCTGCCTAAAAGCCTTCTTTGTTAAGCCATCACTATGAAGTAAAGATATAATAGAGATAGAAACTGGCAATTTAAAATTACTTAAAAAATATTTGCATTGTATTAAAGTTTTAAATTTGCAATATGATGTTCAGTTTCGTAATGTATAAATTCAGCTGTAAAGTAGTAGACGGTTATAAATCATTGACAGCGTTTCACTGATGAATAGCGAATGATTTAAAAGGAACTTTCCCATTTGTATTGAATATCAAATTATACAACTATTTACACACTCTTTTTGATAAAAATATTAAATTTTAAAGCAATTCAATATGGACTCTTTTAGTGGTGCATGCAATAATCCAGTATTCGATTTCTAGCAATGAGTTTCCTAGCTCGAGTGTTAATTTTTAATGACTTCCCCAATTCGTTGTTTAAAATAAACACTTTTGCATAATCTGTCGTCTGCACAAGATATTTTCTACACCTTTTCCACTTGAAGAAATGACAGAATATTATATGAAATTATTTCTTGATCAAATTTATCTTTCGATATATCTCTCTTCAGACTCGAGGATGGCAGACATGATAAATGACCACGTTTTGGCAACTAAGCGAAGTGACGCTATTGAAAATTAAATAACGTATTATGGAAGTCATATTATAATAGTGTTGGATATTATTATACATATAGTGAAACATATAGTGAGGGGATCAAAGCCAACTGGAATATTGTACACAACTGAAGGAAGAAAGAAGCACTTATCGAAGCGTTTTAAAGTTTATGAACCTTTCAAAAAGGAGAGGAAAAACTAACACAAAAAAATTCAAAAATCATGTTCATCAAACATCCAAAAATTACGGAAATTCTAAAAGTAACATTAAAGGCGAATTGCTTCAAAGAATGACACTCTATACTATTATAAGTAATATATTGTTGCAGGGGTAAGGGTTCGTAACAGATTGAATGCACATAGAACTGATGACTACCATGATAAAATTTATTTTGCCAAAAATAACATTTAATAATTTTGAACTTTTCACAAAAATACTCGTACAGCTCTTCTCGGTATCACAGAGCCCAATTAGTAGTTACACTTCAAAATACTAAGAATGCTAAACACAGCGCAATGCAAAGCGCATCTAAAAAGGCTAAAATCCTACGAAGATCTGTTAACACTCCGAACTCACGCTGAATTAAACAACTGCTAAACCAGTGCTCTCTCTGGTCTTATATAGTTTCACCCGGCCGCCGAGAAATCCCTAGTATACCTTCCATTTCTCGAAATTAATGGAAGGCATATGAGGGCCAGATACGGTTATAGTTACATATCTAGATTAATTACATAACATAAACTGCAACTGAAATTTCAAGTGACAGTCACAATACCATTTACAGTTATACATGAACCGGAGCAAAATGCCGCCAATTGACTAAGTTTAGTGTTGGCGACAAAATTAGTCGCCAAAACCGTCACCATCTTGGCGATAACTCGCCAATTTAGCGAGATAGCCATTTACCCAATGTTAAATAGACTTGACCCAGGATTCTTAGTTTTCCGCCAAAGCTTCGCCTCTTTAGATTTTGATGCTACATTATACAGAAACAAATACTACAATTTCATATATAATTTCGGCAAAATCACTTACATATGTACAAAAACCATTTTATTTGCACTAGGATAAGGTGGGGTGGCACTTTGTTTTTTATGCCTTCCAGTTTAACGGAATCAGGTTACAAAGCTAAAAATCCTTCTCTCATATGATTTACGAGCATTTGGAAATGTTTCTCTAAACGTTTCAATAACGTTTTCGTAAAGGGTCTTGAGAAACAACTCTCAATCTAAAAATTCTCTCTGTTTGAAGAAAACTCATCTCCCTCTTGCATCAAACATGCATTTTTAAACTTAACAGCATAAACTGCAACTGAAATTTCAAGTGACATATTATTTATAACAGTACACGGGTAACATTCTGAAATGTTCCTAAGTACTTTGCCTCTGCTTAACTTAGAAACCTTGTTGAACTATGTAGCGAATTATTGCTAAGTCCAAGTGTGTAAATAAAAAGTCCAGAGAAGGGTTAAACTCACCCTTTTAATACCTCAATCTTAAGAACACAGATGGCTCCATTTCCGGGCTTACAGAAAACTCTCCACTTAGTCTCAACTCAAGACAAAAAAATAACAAACTAATCTAATGCGAAACTAAACTGAACTTAGTCCAAACTGTACAAAATTATCTAACGTAGTTGGCCCTTAATTAAATTAATCAGCGAATGTCATCAAGCACGTACAATAAGGCCGAGCGTAGTTAGCTTTAAGCGACGAAGTAGCCTGACGACAACATACGCCAGAAAGCTCTTCTACTGAAGTAAGCGAAACCTTCCTTTAAATACTCTGTCTACCTCATTTACATGTAACGCGATATTAAAAATTTATTCTGGTAGGGAATAGTAGGCGGGAAACGAGAACTGACAAGCACATTTAACAATTAAAACAACTGTTAGAAACTTAAAATAACCTCTAGAATACATTTAAACAAATTGCCATTAATGTCCACTTTGGAACTTCTACAATTTTTGAATTGATGTGCATGACTTTAGGATCAGCCTGTAAAATACAAATAGATGCATTTTTAGCTCATTTATAATTCGTCATTGAAATGCGTTCTATAAATCATGACCACCGCTTAGTTTATATGTTAAAAGTTTTGCATAGGCTCAAAATTACCTCTTTTCTTCATCAACTAGTCTTACAGATACCTCCGGCAGACTGAAACTTATGTCAACGTACCGAAATATTTTATAAGTTTCCACTTTCCTTGGTGTGCGGTAAAACATGCCATATACTGCAGATTCAGCAGCAACTAGAAAAAGAGGAAATGTTTAATACTATTTGAAATTTTTAATTCACGTTATGTTTCAGAGATTATAAAAAATGTCTTTTGCTGAAGATACGTCTTATCGTTTACCTTATACAAATGTGTGTGTTAATGCATTCTAGCTTAAATATTAATAATTGAAAAACGCACATATTTATCTTTGATTTAAAAATAAAATCTGATGGGTGTTTAACACCGACTACAGAGCTAGTTTCAGATACGCAGCATAACCTCGGAACAAACTCGGCTACTACTACTCACGAACTCTTAAAACGCGGGTTAAATACTGCTTCTGAAACACACTTATATTTTGCATTCTACGTCATTTAAAATTTGCATTCTGGCAGTGAACTGAAATCAAGAGGGACAGGAAAATCAAACTAAAAATAACTGGTTAGAATAAAATAAGGTCTTTACAAATTAATAACCTAAATATGCAGCGTATCTTATATTACTTCGGTTTTCTTTGTTTCATAATACAGAGTCAGCAAAATGATAGACATGACTTTAAATCACTCTAATGTACTATCGTGTAAACCAATCTTTTCGCATAAAGATGCGATCATGAAACAAAATGTGAAGTTCGTTTCGTGATACTCAAAGTTTTAATTTGTTATGGCTGTTCAATAGAACTTCTGGCGCCTGTGAGAAACAATCATCCCTACTGGCATTGCTATGAGTACACCAGGCATGATTTAGTTTATGTGGACAGAAAGAAAATTCAGCTTAGACGTCTGCAGGCCAACTCACGAAGGTCATATTAATATTTGTTTTAAAAAAATCTGATGTATACATCACATGAGTTCCTTGTATTGAATATTAAATTATACGCAATATTCCTGCATTTAATTTAAACATATTGAATTAACAGTTAACGAATTTTGAATTAAAATTACTTCGTCGATAGCGCATAGACCACAATAGAATAAATGCACTCTTTAAAGTTCACTATATTTATTTACCATAGCGACACTTTGGCACTAGGTTCACTTAAAAGCGTTACATCTCATTCATTTTATAACTGAGAGTGCACAAAAATTATACCATCTGAAGAATTACCACAAGTTCTATTTAAATACTATAATAAATCTAAAACAAATTTTAATTAAAAAATGATACCCGAAATTTTTTGCGACTACAATATTTCCTTTTTACTTTGCACAAGGATGTAATAATTTGATCTTTCATGTTTACTTTGCAATGAAATCCGTTAAGCTCCCTCAAATACTTTTTCTAATAAATCTGTTTAAAATTTGGCCCATCTTTTAAGATGTTTCTATATAATTTTATATCGCATCTATATTACATTTTCAGGTTGTATTTTTTATTGTGTGTTATGATACTATCTATGTATTACACAAAATAAACTCATTGATCTCATTCAAACTGAGAAGTAAGTGTTTTTGTGCATGAAAATATAATTTTTGGAGGCCAGGTACTATATAAACTTAGTTAACGATATCAACCTAAAAGTAACATGAAAGAAGAGAAAATACGAATTTTTTTTCATCAGACCTAATGAATATTAAAAGTTCAAAAGCTTAATATTATGCGGATAAGGCAAAGGTTTGAAAAGTCGAGAAAAAGACTGTTTTAACATTTTTTAAACCATATTATTTAATGCGGCTGATGTGTAATGTGATATGTCGCTGAAGTAATAATCTGTTTTCACAGTTTTATAAGTCTTTGTCTACTATAAGCCCTTACTTACCTTAAAAGAGTTATCGCCTCAGATAGCTAGCAGTTCGTTAAATATACACACAAGCTTTTAAGAATATCAACATGTATCTAATTACGTGATTTCTGAAAAATAAAACAAAAATACACTCTGTTGCAAAAAATATGTGAAAAAAAAATTTGAGCTAGAACTACGAAACTCGGCATAGTATAGTGTTCGAGTAAAGAAATAAATAATCAAAAACTGGCGCGAAAAAAAGCGCTTTATTTACGAGAAGCAACACAAAGAATGAATTAGTTTTAGGTGATAAAGCCACCCCTGGCTGCTATACAAGCGAATATTCGGTTGGGCATGGAGTCTATTAAGTGGCCATTGTTCCTTTGCTGTATATTGCGCCACAAATGGAGCAAATGGTCAGCGAGTTGGGGAGTATAGTATGTACACAATTGCTTGCCCAACATATCCCAAGCATGTTCGATAAGTGACAGCTCTGGAGACCTGGCAGACCAGTCGAGTGCAGATATTTTTAGAATCAGAATAATTGCTGCAACTTAGCAGTGAGATAGCAAATACTTTGAATACCTGCTTAATAATGTCAGCAGTAAGTTTACTGGACACTTAGAAGGATACGCAAATGACTTCCATTCTAACTTACTTGTAATAAACTAAGCTTGAAGTTTAATCTTGATTAAACTGATTTATGTTGGTTTAGGACATCTTAAGCAACCGAGTTTGAAATAACGAAACCAACCATCAGCAATATCAGCAATAGGAAATTACACTCTGTTGCAAAAAAAAATTGAAGGACTTTCGCGGTGGTGACGAAATTTGATATGCAAAATCATCTTCATCGAACATGCAAATGATCAAAGTTTCAAGGCAAATGAACAGGAATTGCAATCATAGCGCGCATTTCCAGTGCGCAATCCAAGTATAAAACCAGCAATAAAGGCGGAAAATTTATCTTTTTTTGTTGCTGCCATTGTAATTCCGTAAAGAAGCAACTAAAGATACTATCACGACGATATCGAAGACCTCACAGATAACTAAACGACTTCGAACGTGGTCGCATTGTAGGGTTGCGTGAAGCTGGGGGGTCATACCGAGCAATAGGCCGTCACCTACAGCCTACAGAGACTGCTGTGCAAAGATGTTGGCAGCAATGGTTGCTACAAGGAAATTGTCGACGAAATGAAGGCTCTGGAAGGCCAAGGAGCACAAATGCGGGGCAAGATAGGATGATTGTTTGCCAGGCCCGAACCACCCCAACGGTATCATTGTCGACTATTCAATGCACTACAGCCACCTCTATACCTCCCGTGTTACCACCTACCATCTCACGGCGCTTGTCTAAAGCGGGGTTACGCTCACAGAGGCCTTTAAGACGTTTGCTTTTGACCCCACAACATCGGCAGAGTCCTCTGGAGTGGTGTCGCAGCCGATTATCATGGCTGCCAGCAGACTGGCATCGTATAGTGTTCAGCGATGAATCCCGCTTCACTCTTGAAGCAGATGAAGACCGTGTTCGTGTATGGAGAGGACGGGGCCAGCGGTGCCAATCAGCCATTATTTTACAAAGGCATACAGACATAACCCTTGGTGTGATGGTGTGGGGTGCTATTTCTTATGATAGCAGGCCATCTTTAGTCATCCTTCGTACATCTTTAACAGCTCAACGATATGTTGATACCATCCCGCGACCGGTTGCACTACCCTTCATAGCATGTCATCCTGGAGCCATTTTCCAACAGGATAATGCCAGGCCACATACCGCTCGCATATCTCTGGACTATGTTGCATAATCGAGAAAATATTGTTAAGAATTTTATTATTACTATTTTTATTATTATTGTCTATTTTTCAAAAGTGTGTTTTTGTTTTATTATTGTGTGAAGTTGTAACTATATGTCTTTTCTTGTGTGGCAACAACGCTTCTGTAATTCTTCAATTTGAACTTTTGGATGTGTGCCAAGTTTGATGGCGTAATGCTCTGGTGAGAGCGTCGATTGATTGTGTAGATGAAACATGTTGTTTCAGAACGTTATTTCTTTAAAATATGTAAAATAAATGTTTTGTTTTCTGACTCGGATTATGCAAACGTTATTTAGTTTCAACAGACTATCTCCGTAAGGTTGATACTCTTCCTTCGCCAGCAAAGTCACCAGACCTTTCACCAATCGAGTAATCTGGGATATAGTAGGCTGCCAGATTTGGGTACCACAAAATATCACAAATCTGGAGCGACAACTGATGAATGCCAGGCAGAATGCGTCGCAGGATGACATTAGCAGCCTCTACCACTCCTTGCCTCGTCGAATTCAAGCATGCATTGCCGCCAGGGGCGGTTCGACCAACTACTAATTCGAACACTCAGTGGGTGATTGATTGTGAATCGTGAACAGATACTATGATCTTGATTTTTAATTATTTTATTATCTGTGTTTGAGTTATACACATATTCAATTTCATCAAAAGTAACCACTTCCTTCATGGTGCTTCGATTTTTTTTTTTTTTTTTCAAAAAAGTGTATTTGAATACTGAGGATATGGTAAATTAATTGAAACAGTTGATCAATGTACAGAGGCTGTTCGCACATCTTTTAGACGATTTTGGTATGCGGTAATAAAAACTCTTTTGCTGCAAAACAAGTAATTGCAATTGTATTATGTTTTTAAAAGTCAAAATTATCGTCTGTGGCTTGAACGTTTTGTTTATATTCAAAATTGGCGAATTTAACAAAGCAGTAGTTCGAAGGCTACATTTACGCTCTTTCCAAAGAGAAATATGCATACTCCGTTATCCAAAAACGATGTGAGAGTCATGGTTTTGTGATATTTAAGGCTTCGATAGGTAATATTATCAACAAGAAAGGAAAAAAAATGTTCAATTGGAGTCTCAAGTGGGACAAAAATTCCAAACAAGTATCCAAGTTAAAAAAGGACATCTTAGATCATTGCAAAGGTACGTTGTTTAATGTTAAAAAAAACCCCTAGTCAAAGGACAGTTGCAAAATCATTAAAATTCTCGATTCCATTGTAAACAAAATGATAAACGTTGATTTAAATCTTAAGAAAGCGAAAAAAAATGCAATGTGCATCGTCTTCTTCCAAAGCATATCGCTCAACGCAGGACACGCTGCTGAATTCTATATGAGAAACACTTATCCAAAGAAAAATGGAAAACAATTGTCACAGTAGATGAAGCATGGGTGTATTTAAATGACTGTAACAAAAAAAGAGCCATTTATTATCATAAAAGGGGAGAAAAAAATTTAAGTACATGGTTCAAAGAATCGAAAGAAAGTGTTTCTAAGGGATCCATGATTGTTGCTGGTTTTTCTTATAATGGCAAGTTAAAAATAAAGAGAGTTCAAAACAATATGTCAAGATTAACTCCAAATACTATCAGAAACATTTTTTATCGGCAATTTTTCTGAATGAAATACCATCGCTTTACCCACAGTGCCATTAATCTGTGAGACTCCATCAGGACAAAGCTAGCAGTCACACATCAAAATCCACTGTAAATTGCCTAAAAGAAACGGAGCAAAAACTGGTATCAAGGCCATACCCTTCACTGATATCCCTTCTAAATCTCCCGATGTGTCACCCATGGATTTTGTGCTTTCGGACTTTTAAAAACTGCATTATCCAAATGTTGTACCAAAACCCTAACAGGACTCTGGAAAGCTGTTCGGGAGGAATGGGATAGAATACATCTTCTGCCACTTCAAAAGGCATTATTATTATCCTGGAACTTGCGGTGTCAAAAGATAGTTCAGAATAAGGGATGCCAAATAGAACATTTAAAACACAATTTTATGTAATTTAGTTTTGTGAATACAATATACATCGTCTAAAAAATGTGTAAACAGCCTCTGTAACTAGTGTTCCCATCTTAGTTCCTTTAGTACTTCATTTACAAGTTTTTAGAAGGAGTAAACGTAAATGTAAAGGAGACTGATAGGAAAGCAAACTGAAAAGCAGTTAACAAAATGTCTTACATAACATTTACATTTAATTGTATATGTGTAAAGGGCTGTTCTTTTAAACTAAAACAGAATACTAAATTAATTTCATGCACACGAAATTTTTAAGTCTGTTCGATAGAATGCAGTATTCAGAAGAAAATCTAAGGAAACTGATTTTTGAATTAATAAGTATCAAATAGTACCCTGTGGAAAGCCAAAGGATTCAACAAGGATCAAATTAACTGTATCTTCACCGCAAAGAGCTCTGGAGCCGCCTAAAATAATTTAACTACATGTAAGACAATTGCTCGTAAATAAATTAAGACAAATATATCGTTATTACACTCTTAGCAAATAAAAAAGACAAATTAAAAAAAATTAATAATCTTTTTGCTCTGTAGAATCAGACAGTGAAAATCGATTCTCTAAGATTACATTAACGAAACCCGATCGAAAAGTTTCTTGTTCATTGTGAATGAATTAATTTACAATATGTTCTTTTGCAAAAACGTAATTAAATTTTGAAAGATATACACTTAGGTAATGAATTAAAAAAGGAATAAACAGTTTTAAATTCATTAAATGCCAATATTAATAATATATAACAAATAAATTTCCGTTAAATATATCTAATATGATTAACAAATAACAGTTATAGATACAATCAAGTTCAAAAGTGGTATTAAAAATGTACTGGTGAACGTCACTCCTTTTATAACTTTACCTACGCTAATTATTTACAGTTTCTCACGAAGATGCATTACCTTAGGAGTTGCGGCCTCTTTTTCTCTCACAATTACAAGTCAAAACGAGGTGTAATAGGTACAAAGGAGAAAGCTTGCAGATGTCACAAAGGCTAAGCATGATTTCTTTGAAGCCAAGATTAACATTCTTTTTAGGTTATAAATGGCTGAAAGTTAAGGTGAACTTTGTATTCGATATTCTCTTGGATTCCAATATGTATTGTTATGTGCGTATTTGGGTTCGTAATAAATTGAATATAAACAGAACCGATGAAAACTTGATGAAATTTATTTCTCCCCCCCCCGAAAAACACTTCGCAGTTCATAGTTCTGGAACATTTCACACAAAAGTACTTGCATAGATCTTATCAATATCACTGAGCACAATCAGCACCTACCACTTCAAACTACTAAGAGCATTGAACACAAAACAATGCACAAAGCGAAAGCTCGCATGATCATCTTTCAGTACTCTGAACCCTCAGTAACCTAGGCTAAACTGAAAATTGATGCTCTCTCCGACTTGTATCGCAAGGGTGGAAAAACTTTGCCAGTAAGAGCAGTATGTTGGAATTCAAGAAAGTTCGAGAGATGCAACTAGATTTTTAAAAGCCGCAAATTCCTATTTCCCCAAATGGAAAGAAACTTTTTCGTTTAAAGATATTCTGCCTACAGCATGTAGTGATGCGCCCATGACAAAGCGAAGTTTTATGGTGTCTTTGTTTCCTCTCACTACGGCTTGACGGGTAAGAAGTACTCTTTCCAGTTTTAAATACGCTTATTCTTCCGCGATATCTTCTTGCAAATGCTGATCTAAAACAACTGTATAACACTCATGAAACTTCGGATTCTTAAATCTGCTCCACAGCGAGTGAAATCGTCTTTTTTTTTTTTTTTTTTTTTATGTACCTCAAAGTTATTCCGTAATTCTAAGGATTGTTCATTTCACAACAAGCAAACCGTATATCTGTTGCCCTCAAGTTTTACGGGTTCTCGAATTTTCTGAACACTTGGCATGCGGACAACGTATTTTTACGTTTTTTGCAGTCTGTCACTGGAGCGCGGGTCACGTAAAAATACGTATTTATTAGATTTGTGGTGGAGGATACCCGCTAACCACCACAAATCTATTAAATACGTATAATTATATGTATGTGTGACATTATATGGGTGTTGTTTGCGTTGCTAGGAAACGCTTTGCATTTTTTCTTTCAACAAGTTATGATTGTCGAGTTACTTGGTCTTTTGTTATTTCGTCTTCAATTGAATTCTTAGCTCCAGAACGTACAAGTCGTGTTATGTCAATTTGAAGTTTGGTTTTTTATTATTGATTAAATAAATTGATAAAATGAAGCGTTGTGACAAAGATAGTGATGAAGAAATATGCCCTGACAGATTATCGGACTTTTCGTATGATAGTGATATTCTGAAAGTCAAAATATCGAAGAAAGTGACGATGATGACATTATTCCACGTTCTCGAGTGTTCGTCCGAAGAAGAATTTCTAGTAGTTCTGAAACAACTTCTGATGAAGAAGCAGATGAATGGTCATCGATTGACAATCCTCCAGACCTTGAAGAGTTTTTGGGTCATCCTGGGATAACTAACATGGCTAATGTTACTGAATCCACAGCTGATGCAGTAAAGTTATTTATAGGCGATGACGTTTTTGCATATTTAGTCGCGGAATCAAACAGGTATTATTATCAAAATATGAATCAGTTCAAAATATCTCTCAAAAGCATTAAATGGAGAGATATTACGTGGGGCTTATTATTTTCATGGAACAAGTTCGTAAAGACGCCCGAGACAATTATTGGTCAACTGATGTCTGCACAAGTACACCGTTTTTTTTTCAAAAACTATGTCAAGGGATAGATTTCGCCAAATATGGAAGGCTTGGTATTTCAATAACAATGAAGACATCACGGGCGATTCTGATCGATTATTCAAAGTCAGGCCTATACTAAATTATTTTGTTGAAAAATTCAATAACTTTTACAAACCGAAACAACAAGTATCGTTAGATGAGGGCATAATACCTTGGACAAGACAATTGTTTTTTTGAGTTTACAACGCTTGAATAATTACAAAATAAGGCATACTCATACGAATATTGTCTGAAAGTGACACTGGTTATATTTGCAATTTTGAAGTTATGCAGCTCAAGGATTACGTTTGATCGAAACGATACTCACAGTAGTTTCACCATATACCGATGTCTGGTACCATTTATACATGGAAAATTACTACAACAACGTCGATAACACAAAAACCCTTAAAAAAAAAAAAAAAAAAAAAAAAAAAAAAAAAAAAAAAAACGAATTTGCGGAACAATTAGGAAGAATAGAGGTCTACCAGAGTGCCTGAAAAAAAAAAAAACTAATTTGAAAAAAGCAGAAACAATCTTTCGAAGAAAAATTGATATATTGGTTCAAGTTTGGCAATCCTAAAAAGAAGTCAGTCTCATCTCTTCGATCCATTCCGCGAAAATGAAAGAAAGTATCAATGTTGATCGTATGAAGAGACAAAAAATTATAAAGCCAAATGCTTTGATCGACTGCAAGTACATGAAAGGAGTAGATCGGGTCGGTCAATATTTGTCCTACTATAGAGTATTTTGCGTAAAACAGTGAAGTGAACAAAGCGCTTAGCTATGTATATGATGAATTGTGCATTTTTCAATGCATATGTAGTATACAATTCGACAAAGACGCAAAAAATAAAATACAAGAAATTTTTGCACGACATCGCACGACATTGGGTTACTGATGAACCACCCGAAATCAGCACTGAAGAACCAGAGCAAATGATATCAAAACGCAACCCTCCTAAAAGATTGTCCATGGATATGCGCAAACACGTAATGGAAAAAAAAATGTTGGTGCCGGGAAGAAGAAAAATCCACAAAGACAAAGTCGCGTGTGTGCAGTCACAAAAGTGCGAAGTGAAACGTGTTTCATATATAGCTTCTGCCGTGTTCCTCTTCATAGAGGAAAATGCTCTGAACGGTACCATACTGTAAAGAACTATTAACGTGTAATCAGTTCTATTTGTGCTTGTTATGAAAAAATATTTTTGAATACATTGTAAAATTTTAAAAAACGTTTATTTTTGTAATTTCGTAAAAATATCGTTTTTTTTTTTTTCCCTTAAATAATCATACAGTATATATTTAAGTGTAAAATAAAACAAAGTTTTGTTCATAAAAACGAAGTAGTTTTCGATTTACTGCGATTTTTTTGAATAACCATACTTCCGCGAGATTGACGAAAAAACGCCCGCGGCACGCGTAAGTTCGCGACGAAGTATACCCGCATGCCAAGTGTAAAGAATTAAGAATCTTCACTTTAGACGGGTAGTTAAAAAATTATACGTCTTAAACATTGTGACTTGATGTTCATTCTACGAGTTATGGAGAGCCAACTTCTTATCGAGCACTGGCGTTTCAAAGCCTAAGTGCATAAACGAGGCATCGTTCTTGACTTTTGCTCAGCTGTTTCCGGAAAGAAATAGTTGTTTAGAAAGAAATACTTGACAGAAGATATTTAAAACAATATTTAAAACAAATATTTAAAACAAATATTTAAAACAGTGCTGTCTGACATATATTTTTGATGGGACATTGAATACATAATATCTTGTCATGAGAGGAAACAAGAGCAGACAAATCTAACTTCCATCTTAGGTTATATACTTTTAGCGAATGTAAAAGTAGCGATAGCGATATTAAAGAAGAGACTGATAATAATTTATTGTGATAGTTCAATTATCAGATGGTCGTTAATGGGTGCATTGTCAATGGCGAATGCTACAATAATATACGAACAATTCAAATATAATAAACACTGCGGTGTTGTCAAAATAAAATGCCTGTACGCCATAAAATTAAACTATTTTTCCCTCAATAGCTGAAGCAATAATTAAGATAAACCAATCAAAGGAAGAAGAACCTCGTACTCGAAGAAATGTGATCCGCTATTAGGGCTCATAAAGTACATAAATGCTATTACTGACAGTAAAATGTTGAAAAACTGTAACGAGTGGAGCTTTTGAGAATTTTAGATGTTCATTTGTTTCGTAATCTCAATTCAAAATTAAATGTAAATTTAAAAAACATTAAAAAACGCTTTTTAAGCTTCAGGTTATGTTAAAAAACACTTTTTAAAAATTGAAATTACGAGGATCAATATTATATGTAACCTGGTTGCACACATATTTTGCGTTCACTACGCAAGTTAATTTAAGATGAATACATTTATTCAATGAATGAATACCTTCACTTATATAGCACATTAACTAAAAAGAAAAATACCAGCTTTTCAAATAAAGAGGAAAAGTGCGCATTGTGAGAATAACTTAGTGCTAATCATGTATCAAATTAGAACTTTACTGTTTACAAATTAGAAGAAAGCTTTACTGAAATTTTGAAACTCAAGTAGAGCAAAATTTAATACGTTAGATCCAGGTTCCTAATTTCGGAATATTATTTAATAATATGCCAATAAATAT